CTGCTGAAAATTTAAGTGGAGTAGCACGGACCCCATGCAACAGATTACATCACTGTTTTAACAGATTAGGCACTCAGGACGAGTTATTTGGGGATACAACATGTGTACCACTGTTTTCCTTATGTTTTTTTTTTTTGGGGGGGGGGGTGCATATGTTTGAGGGATATTTGTACTAAGTACCTGTATACCTGAAAAATAATTGAATTACCTGTGTGTGTTGCAATATGTTTGAGGGATAGTTGTATTAAGCTTTTGTGTGCCTGGGAGTTAATTGAATTAACGGTGCTTGATCTAATTTACTCCCAGACACAGCTATGCCTGCGTGGGGTTAACATTGTTCTGTTAAGGACTTCATGCTTGGGGTCTGTGTATAAATGTATGTAGTTGAACAAATAAAGTGTCTTGTTTTCACTCTTCAAGTCTAGGCTGATGTTTGGTTGAGCTACTAGGATCATTGAAGGTGTACTGCAAGAAAAAGGAGGTATATTAACGGAGATACTCAGGCTGAGTACCAGGCTCTGTTACACTCTCTAATATATTTTTCTGTTTATTGTATTGAGGAGTATAAGAAGAATGCTTCATCATCTACACCTTGTTAGGGAGTCTACTGTATTTATTTCAATATTTGATCAATTTAATCATATGGGAAAATTGTATATCCCTTAAATTGTATAAATGTTTGATTGATTTACTTCAGAAGTCCATTGTAGCTTGCTTATAATTGGATTTCAATGAGCAACAATTCAATAGACTTTGATATATGTTTTAATTGGTGATTGTTAAATAAAAAACTGCTGCCCGTTGTGGGCGGTATTGCTTTTTTTCTTTTGGAAATGTGTTTAATTTTTAGGGTTATCACCTTGGAGCCCTCACCTTATGTGCTATAGCAGTCCTGAACACTAATTGCTTAATATATACCGCAAAAAAGAGATTGCAAAAAAAACAATCGTTATATCTCAGACTCTACAGGCCTCAGTTAACATGTTAAATGTTAAAGTTCATGACAGTACAATTAGAAAAGACTGAAAAAGTATGGTTGTTTGAAAGGGTTGCCAGGAGAAAGTATCTTCTCTAAAAAGAACATGACAGCATGGCTTAGGTTTGCAAAGTTGCATCTGAACAAACCACAAATCTTCTGGAACAATGTCCTTTGGACAGATGAGAGCAAAGTGGAAATGTTTGGCCATAATTCACAGAGCTACTGATCGAAATACGATCCTTCATCACGATAGCTCTCATCCCCCGGCATTAGTTGCATCCATACCTTATGCACAGTATCGACGTGTCATACGCAATAATTCAGAAGTAGATATAAGAGAACAACAGATATCGGATATGACCCAATAATTCAAGGAACAGGGTTATGGTCAACCGCCTTTGATGACCTCGCTATCTAAAGCACAAAGTACAAATGCTTTGAAAATTCCTTCTACTATGCCTAGGATGGTATTTCCCATGACCTACCACAACAAATCTCCACAATTTTCCAACATCATGAAACAGAATTGGAAGATGCTGTCTTCGGATGACACCTTGCCAAAAATCTTTAAAGAGCAACCAATGATTTGCTACAAACGCAATAAAAGTTTACGGGATTTGCTCGTTAAAACGGATACTGTTTCCAGTTACCAAACTATTCCGATAAGCCAAATTAGGGGTAGTATACGATGCCTTAGTTGTGTCACCTGTGGCCATATGGTTCCATCTCGGACATTTACTCATCCCCATACTACCAAAAGCTACAGTATTAAATTTACTATCACATGTAAGACATCATTTGTCATATATAAAATTTCCTGTCCATGTGGGTTAGTTTATATCAGCAAGACCAGCACTCCCCTGTGTGAGTGCATAAGAGGACACAGGTCCAACATTAGAACTGCCTACCGTGATGGCCATTCGGACAAACCCGTAGTGAAACATTTTTTAGAAAAAGGACATTGTTTGGCTACTTTAAAATTTGTCGCAATTGACTACATCCCACCACCATCCAGGGGTGGTGACCGTGGCAACATGCTACTAAGAAAGGAAACATTTTGGATTTTGGAGTTAAATACAGTGGCCCCCCATGGACTGAATGAAATAATTACTTACCATGCATATTTGTAGTATTTTTCATTTTGTTTATTTTATTTTTCATGTTTGGATTTCAGTCACTTTTAGGATTTCTTGAGTAGATTATCTTTATAGTAGTGACATGCAGCATTTATGACCCTATAGACCCATGGTACATCACAGTACTTATAATACATACGCTTTACAAAGCATATATGTTTGCTGTATAATGATAGCGTACAGTTATATTATTAGGGGCTTGGGTCCTTACTTCCAACTGTCTTTGCACTCTACTATCATTATTACACATTTTTATTCTACATTTTTTTATTTTCATGCTTTTCTTTTGCATTACTGTTTCCTTTCTTGTGCCATATGATTGCACTTTAGCTAGTGATATATGTGATCTATATGTGACTGTGATTATGTGATGACCAAGTTATGGTATCCTTTTGCTACAATATTAGGCACTTATGACACTTTCTTTCACTTTCTATATCACCTTGTATCCATGCATTGATATTAGGCTGTCACCATAGCAACCCGCAATGAGCGAGATGCAGTGACGTCACCACGTCACGCACAGCACTTCCGGGTATGCGCACATTGCTTTGGAGGACGCCGATCAATCAGCTAGAATCACCTGCGGTGAGTTTCTTTCTTTCTTTTTGGGTTATATATTGGTGCACATTAAGCAGTTTGTATTGTATTTATTTTGTTGATCCTGATGAAAGCTCAAAACTTGGGCTGAAATGTAGATTTTTTAAGATTCTTCAATAAAGAACTGGTTTTACTTCAAAAGACCATGAGTGCTAGTTATGTTTATATTTTATATATATATATATATATACATATATATATATACACACACACACACATTATTTTCATTTATTGAAATGATTAATTAATTATTGAAAACCCTTGTTGTCTGGTGGTAGTGAGTGACTCTAGTCCAGTGATGGCGATCCTTTCTGAGTCTGAGCCCACACCACAATACATGCCAACTTATTTTTCCTCAAAGTGCCAACACGGCAATTAAACCTGAATACTGAGGTTTAAGTTTAGAAAAAAAACAACTCGTACAGTTGTCCGAACTAATTAACATCTTTTGTTTTAAAAGAAGAACACAACAGAGAGCTCAAAGATACACATTTTAAATAATGATACAAATAGATAAAATAAGCTTACATTTATTAGTATCTCCAACAAATGCAATACATACACACAGACTGCTGAACACATTCACACACCGACTGCTTAATACATACACACACCAACACACAGACTGACTGCTAAATACACACACACACACAAACTGCTAAATACATACACACAGTCTGCTAAACATACACACAGTCCGCTGAATACACACACACACACTGCTGAACACCACACACTACTGAATACACACACACAGACTGCTGATTACACACACACAGACTGCTGAGTACACACAGACTGCTGAATACATACACACAGTCTGCAGAATACACACACACACACACACACACACACACACACACACTGCTGAATACATAAAGACTGCTGAATACACACACACATTGAGGGGTGCAGTGTATGTGTTTGTGTGTAAGGGTGTGCAGTGTGTGAGGTGCTGTGTGTGTGAGAGAGAGGTGCTATGCTGTGTGTGTGTGAGCGGTGCTGTATGTGTGAGGGATGCTGTGTGTGTGTGTGGTGCTGTGTGTGTGGGGGGAATGGGTGTTGTGTGTGGAGGTAGGGGTGCTGTGTGGGGGATAGGGGTGCTGTGTGTAGGGGGTAAGGGTGCTGTGTGTGGGAGGGTAGAGGTGCTGTGTGTGGGGGTAGGGGTGCTGTGTGGGAGGGTTAGGGAAGATACATAAAAAAAAAGTATATTAAATCAGTATCCCCCCACTTCTTCTTACCTTTGGTGAAGGGGGGAGGAACACAGCCATCCCTGGTGGCAGGGCGTACCTAGAGCATTTGGCACCCGGGGGGGATCCTGTGTTTGGCACCCCCCAACCCCACCCAAAAAAAAAACCTGTAAAAAATGTTAAAGGTTTTCTTTCTTTTTTTTTTTACAATTTGTAAACTTTGCAAAACCGCTGTCAGCCCCTCCTACAAAACCCTTGTCCTGCCCCGCCACTCCTACAAAACCTCTGTCCTGCCCCTTCTACAAATCCTGTACTGCTCCGTCTGCAAAACCCCCACAACCCCCTTCCACAAATCCCCTGCTTATCCCCCCTTATAAAGACTCCTGTCCCAATACAAAACCCCCACCCCCTTCTACAAAATGCCTGCAGCCCCACACACACATTTACAGGCAGACAGTCACACACTCAGTTACAGACAGACAGTCACACACTCAGTCACAGGCAGACAGTCACACATACACATTTCCTCCGTGCGGCCAGTTTATCAGCTGTTTGCTTGTGTGAGCTGTACTGGCCACACGGCACCCTAACTACCATGGGACACTGTGCGGCCACAGCTCACACAGCCCCCTCCAGCCAGGGCGGTGCAGGATTTTGCCGCCCTAGGCAAAAGTAAAGTTTGCCTCCTCCCCATGTGACATCACAATGCCCACCCATATGATTTGCCATGTTAACTAAAGCCAGTGCTGCAGTGCCGCCGTGTTTACATTAAAGGCCTGCAGGGACAGGCTATAGACACCAAAACAACTACATTAAGCTGCAGTGGTTCTGGGGACTATAGTGTTTCTTTAATGTGAGGTAAATTAGAGATTAGTGCCACGAATAATATACTAGATTGCCTACTTACAACCAGATGAGGATGATGATGGGCTCTAGCTGCAGTCTGGCTCCACTGGTCTGGTGCAGAACAGGCTCTCTGGAGGCGGTTTGTAACTGTGGTCACAAAAATCAATGTTCTGGGAGAACGGGAAGCAGCTCCATTTTTTGGGGGTCCTTTACACAGCTCAAGGTCTGGGTCCCAGGGTCCACCTTCATGTTCCACCAATGAGTTTGTTCACAGGGGGTGGAGTGTGTAGGGGATGTCCTGATATGTGTGTAAGGAATGCATTGTGTGAAATTGTTTTTGTATGTGTAAGGGCTGCAAGGTGTGTTTCTGTGTATGTATGGGATGCATTGAATGTGTGTAAGGGGTGCATTGAGTGTGTGTAATGAATGCGTTGTGTGTTTCTGTGTGTGTAAGGGATGCATTGTGTGTAACGGTTGCATTGCTTGTGTATGTGTGTGTGTGTGTAATGCATTGTGTGTTTTTCTGTGTGCAAGGGGTGCATTGTGTATATGTGATGAATGTCAATCTCTCCTCCCGCTCCAATATCCTTCTCCTCCTCCCAATTTCTCTTTCTCACCCCCCCTAATTTCTCTCCCCCCCTCCTAATTTCAATTTCTCTCCCCCCTCCTAATTTCTCTTTCTCACCCCCTCCTAATTTCTCTTTTCTGCCCCCTCCTTTCTCTCTCACCCCCCTCCTTTCTCTCTCACCCCCCTCCTTTCTCTTTCTCACCCCCTCCTTTCTCTTTCTCACCCCCTCCTTTCTCTTTCTCACCCCCTCCTTTCTCTTTCTCATCCCCCTCCTTTTCTCTTTCTCCACCCCCCCCTTCTTTCTCTTTCTCACCCCCCTCCTAATTTCTCTTTCTCCTCTCCCCCCTACCTTTGCTGTAGCGTGGCCGAGCCCAGTATAGTCCGCGGGTACAGGGAGCTTTTGTTTCCTGTACCCGGCCGGACTAACAGGAAGTGCACAATCAGTGTGCACTTCCTGTTAGTCCGGCCGGGTACAGGAGACAGCTGCTCTCTGTACCCATCGGACCAGCATGCTGCAGGGCTCGGCCACGCTACTACAGAGGGAGTGACAGGAGGGAGCGCTGAGCGCTTCCCTCCTGTCAGCCCCCTTTCTCAGGCTGCGCCCGGGCGGTGCGGTCCGCCCTCATGGACGCACCGCCGGGCAAAGCTGCGGCCGCTTGTGGCTCTCTACAGAGTGCTCGGGTGGCTGCAACATGGGGGGGCCGGCGGTCATGGCAACCCCCACCCTGGTGGCACCCTGGTGGCACCCATGGTAACGTGCGGCAACGCTCCACAAAGATTGGACAGGAGAGCTGCTTCCGAGATCCCTCCCCCTGCTTCCAGTCCTCCCGACAAGAAAGCAGAGTAGGCAGCTGCCGTTTTGGGCAGGCAGGTGCCTTCTCTGCATTGATGGCAATCCTATGGCCGCATGTCCACAGAGAGGGCACTGCGTGCCACCTGTGGCACGCGTGCCATAGGTTTGCCATCACTGCTCTAGTCTGTAGCATTGGCTGCAGAGGAGATGTCTTGGTCTCCCTTCTTGGCTTCAGCCAATGCGGCCCACCAGGCATTTGCCCGATGGCCAGTAATGGCCTGTGGCTCACAGTAGAATTAGGGAGTGGGATTAAGGGATGGACTAGGACTTGGATTATTGCAGTACTAATTTTGACATCAAATTTCAATTTAGTTTTAGTCATAGTCACCTGCACTTATTATATATAATTTTGTTCAGGAGAAACAAGGCTTTTATTTCAAATTCAAATCAATTTTTTTTATATATGAAACATAATTTAATATAAATTAAAACAAAAATTTGAGGGATTAGGAAATATTATTTTTAAAGTCCTGTGTGGCATTTTAATGGTAAATGTCATAATACGGTTAGCCTTTAAATAAAACACTCATATTTTTGTTCAGCGATGTCTCACAAGTACAGAAGTATTTTTATAGTGTTTTGTAAAATTAAAGGGTCAAATATAAGTTTTGCCTAATTCAGTTTTTGGGTTATGTTGCCTTTGAGATCGTATGGCAGCCCAGAAATGAGAATTACCCCCATCATGGCATACCATTTGCAAAAGTATACAACACAGGGTATTCAAAATGGTCTATGTCCAGACTGTTTTAGTAGACACTTAGTCACAAACCATGGCCAAACTTAGCATTCATTGTTTTTTTGCATTTTTCCACAAAAAAAGCACTTTCACTGATTATATCAACGTCATGGTAAATTTTAAAACATAGGCCTTGCAAATCAAATTTTCTGGACTTTCTGCAAGGGTTGTCAGACAGGTCCCTCAAATTATAATAAGTAATTAACATATGTATAGTTAAACAAAAATTTGCACACCAGTCAAGCCATAAGACTTGCTTTTCCCACAGAAATCACAAATTTGCAGTGATGTTACTACCGCAAAGGATTCCAGGTGGGCATATGCAAATTAGTTTAACAAAGAATCACATTTTTGCCTCATTCCATTTTAAACATGGATTCCTTTGATTCTGTGTTTGCTGTATACAACAGCTTTAAAAACACAGTTTAGGAAAAGATGCAAAGCCAGTGAACCACTCATGGACAGCTGTTTCATTGTTAATGCAACTCATCAGCATGAGGTTTGTTACTGGCTTGTTCTGGAGGCTTGACATCACTTGTAAAGTACATACCAAAAGAGTTGTGATGGGAGAAAAAAATTAGGTTGAAAAACCCTTCCATCTGAAATAAGTGAATAGTTAATACAATGCTAAACACTAATAAACACACCAGTCAAGCCATAAGACTTGCTCCAATGAATCTATGCATAAAGTGGAATTGAGGCAAAAATGTGGTTCCTTGTTGAGCTCATTTGCAAATGCTTACCCGGAATCCCTTGCAGTAGTGAGAGAACTGTTAAAGTCAGATTTCTGTGAGAAAAGCACAGTTTAGCAATGTATTAACTATCCACTTACTTCAGGTGGAAGGGGTTTTCATCCACACTTTTTTCCCCACCACAACTCTTCCTGTTGAGGCTGTCAGCATGCAGTGGTTGTAGTCACATTGTAGCAGCTTGTAGAGTGTGTATAGTCACAAACTTCTCTGGTACACAGTAAAGAGTGGAGTATACCTTTGAAGAGATAATTTTGAGGCTGCCAGCGTGCAGTAGTTGTGGTCACATTCTAACAGCATATAGAGTGTGTATAGTCACAGACCTCTCTGGTACTCGGCAAACAGTGGAGAGAACATTTCGGAGAGATAATTATTGATTCCCCCTTTTATTTTACGTTTTAAAAAAATTGTATCTCTGGTTTCTACTCTGTCCTCTTGAATTATAAAGTATAAGATTTATATGATTATTGTATTATAATTACCAGATTTTACTATTTACATGACGTAAAGTCATGATTTTATCAACGACACGGAGGCGAGTATTATGCTACACTCTTTCTTTATTTCCCTCTGCAGCAAAGAAAAATTTAACATTGAAATCAATACAGGAAAGTCAGTAACATATATCTTCCATAGCAATCAAACAGCCAATCTGATTCCACGCTCCAGCATAATAGGCGGTGTTCACTAAACTATTTCCACTTTCTTGTGATCCCGAACAAGGACAACCATCCAACATCCAATAAGAGGATAATGCCCATAACAAGAGGGTTTCCAGGTCAAGCTGTAAGAGAGAGTAGAATATGGTAATATCCAAGTATAAAACTGGATTCATGCATAAAATAACATTGTGAAAATTAATAGGCGATATCTGTTAATTTGTATTCAGTTAATATATTGTTGGAGATGGAGACAGACTTTAGAAAGTTCAAAACTCAAATCACCTTAATATGAAACAAGCCCGAATCAAAGAAACTTACCGTATGTAACTTACCCATTTTACACCACCATCCAGGGAAGGGTGGGAGGAATAATACTTGCCTCCAAGTCGTTAATAAAATCATGACTTTACGTCATGTAAATAATAAAATCTGGTAATTTTATTAAGACACGTAGGCTCCTATTATGCTGGTTTAAAGCTGTGAAATAACCGTTCCAGCAAAATGTTGAATTGGCTTAAAATAAAAGTCTTGAAATGTAGGTTTCGATGTCCAATTGGCAGCTCGTAAAATAGCGTCTAGTTGGCATCCTACCGCAGAAGCTTTACAGGCCATAGCCTCTACAGAATGTGGAGAGAATACAGAAGTATCAATGCCGGCGAATGTCATAATCCATTTGACCCATCTAGCCAGAGAAGGAGAAGATACTGGAAGATGTGGTTTGCGGAAAGAGATGAATAACTGAGGTCTCATAGGATTCCGGAGCGACATGCCACTGGTCAAAGAAGAGGCTTCTCTGGAAATGTCAGGTAGAGTATAGACTTTGAAGAGGTCTTGTTCCTTCTAGAGATGTCAAAGGGGACGCCTTCCGGTGTAAAGTAACGAGCGTTTGTGTCAAGAGCTCGTACATCAGAGACTCTTTTGCATGAGATGAGGCAGAAAAGCATAGCTAACTTCGCAGAAAGTTGTTTGAGGGATATTGAAACATTCTGCGGCCATGACTCTAGAAAATTAACGTCCCAGAGTGAAAAATAACTAGGTAACGGAGGGCGAGAAAAATGCACTCCGCGTAGGAGTTGACAGACAAAGGCATGTCGTCCGATAGGGACACTATCGATGCCCTGATGTCCAGCGGAAAGCACAGAACGGTAAAGGTTAACAGTGCGATATGCTTTCCCTGCTTCAAAAAGGGAGGTCAAGAAATGCAAGATGGATGTTAAAGGAGCCGATGAGGGATCCAGATTTCTTTCCAAGCACCAAGCATTCCATGCATTCCAAGCAGATTTATAAGCTTGCCTCATGCCGGGTGCCTATGCATTTGCGAGAAGTCTGAGTGTTAATTGCAGAATGCCCTCGGTTGACCAAGGTCCCCTGAAATCAGCTAAACCATAAGTCGAAGGACCCTGGAGGATTAATGGGTGAAACTGTCCATCTGGATCTTGGAGGAGAGAATCGTATAATGAATAGAAGCGGGAATCATGGTTGTAACGGCCATAGGGGGGGGTCATAAGTACCAACATGCCATGTTGGCGGCGCAGTTGCAGAAGGCAACGGGGAATAAGTGCAAAACGGGGGGAATGCATAGCCCAATCTCGATGGCCCCATCTTGAGAGAAGGCACTCGTCTCCCGCTGAAAAAACAAGGGAGTTGAGCTTTCAAATGAGAGGCAAAAAGATCTATTCCCAAACGTCCCCAAAGGTCCATAATTTTCTTGAATATCAAGGGTCCAGATGCCAATAGATAAAGTCTTTGAGATGTCGGGAATACCAATCCACTGTGGTGTTGAAGAGACGGGGAATATATTCCGCTGTCACTGAGATGTTGTGCATAAGGCAAAATTGCCAGAAATCACATGCCATGTTCACCAGAACTTTGGATTTCATGCCTCCTAGATGGTTGATGTAACT